ATTGTTCTTTTTCTTGCTTATGTCTAGCAGTGTTCATCGTTTTACACTGAGACAGACCTGAGCAGAGAGGATGCACGGTCCAAACCAAGCAGATTAAGCATAAATACACTGAAGGAATGCTCTCAGTATTTCACACTGAACCAGAGCAGAGAAAAGGGTCCGAACCAAGCATGCGTCAACCAGAGGTAAAGGAAAAGGTGCACTTTAATAATCCCCGTAGGGCAATTCCATCCTGATGCCACTAGCTTACTGTACGTCAGGAGCAGTGGTCGCCGTAGTACAGCGCCCAGGAACCCATCTCCAGATGTGGATGCTCGACTTGGTCAGGACTACAGGAGCTGGAGGATTTAACCTAGTGTGTCATTGTTTAGTAGGAAGCAGCTCATCACCAGCCGCTGTTCCACCTCTGCTGTTGTGACCTAAAGTGCTGTTACACTTTATTACTATTGTTTGTCTCTTTTAGAATTCTGTATTTATTTGTTTGTGTGGATGGATGTATTTCTGCTGCTTGACACCTGAATTTCTCCTACAGGCATCAATAAAGTATCTATCTAACTATCTATGACAGCTCTCCTCGTGCATCTTCATCCGTCCACGCAGCGTAATACGTCTTGCGCATGTCATCTCACAAAGTCCAGCGCACAGAGCGTCTCTGCGTCTGCGTGCTGCCTGCGCTAACAATGTTCTCCCCAGTGTCCAGGCCAAACCAAGCGGACTGCGTTTGTGTGTGCGTGTGTGGATCAATGCGCAGTAATCGATAGGCAAAGACAGGCAGAAGGACCTTGGGGACGGCTCCACACCTGCTGTCCACCCACACACACTGGAGGAGGCTGTTTTGTATTCTGTCCTCATGGCTGTGCGCTCTCCTTTATGCGCTCAGAGCCCTCTGCCTCTGCTTGTGCATAGTTAGATTTTCCAAAGAGACTGGACTGGCGATCTATTTATTTGCCGTTTGGTAACAAATCTAGCTTTATGTCTGGTTTATTAAAGCAGAAGTATATAACTTTCTAGAAGTGGAAGAGGTTCTGCAATATTCTGTAGAAATCAAAAGTTCAAATTATGTTAAAGATGTAATATTATGGGTTATTTTTGTCCCTATTTACTTTTGACAATATTTGTAAGATCTGTAAATGGAACAAGCAGTCCAAATGAGTGAATATAATCTTCCTTAGGAGTTTTTAATCTGTCAAAATGAGTTGTACAACTCCAGTCTCGCTATAACAATTTAGTGAATATTTACTACTTGCTTCAGGTGTTTATATAAACTGTATTTAAGTGTTTTTCAGAAAATATTTTAAGTTCTATATACTCAAAATTTTGTACAAAATTTTAAATAAAATAAAAAGTTGAGTTGTGATGATTGTGTATTTGGTATATGTAAGCTTGTTGAACATACAGGATATTTACAATCACAAATGCAATGTTGTAATGAAGGAGTCCGTCTGAGAAGGGCGCTCTGGCAGCTTTGTTAAAATGTGTTTTAAAAGCTATTAAACCAGTTTGTTTAATATGGACCCCATGAGCTGCTCTTCCTGGAGACCCACTTATAGAACATTTGAAAGTACACTATACAGTTAATTCTTAGTTTTTCAATCTTCCAACAAATACAGGAAAATGAAATTAAGCAACATTTAATATAAAGTCATTGTAATAAGGTTTTAGGTTTGTTCCAACAGTTGTCACACAAAGATATTTTTTCAGTTTATATTTGAATAGTTTACCTTTGATTTGTGAAACATATGATGGAATCTGATTCCACTCAAACTTTCCTCTTTAAATTACATTTGCAGTAACATTTGGAGGTAAAGTGTGTTTCCTCTGTATGCCTTTGTACACATGTCTGTCTTTGCTAAATTTAATCTTATACTGCAGAGTCTGCGTCTCTGGAACTCAAGAATACATCGGTCCTTCACATATAACCAGCTTGTGTCATGTTTTTCATTTTGCTAAACTAAACGTGCTGTTCTATTCGGGATCTTTTGAAGTTGTTCCCTCGGTTCAGCATAAGCTTTTGACCAAACAGTGGAACAATATTCTAGGATAGACAACGGTGCTTGATCAATCTGCTTTTGTGCATCTTATTTCGAAAGAGGAGCACAGGAGGAGTGTAAAACATTATATCCCATTCTGCCACATTTGATGTTTCTGTGTCAAATTAATTGGTTTATTCCAAGCAGTTTGGTTCCTGCATCCTGCACAGACACATTTCTTCTAGTGTATCTGTCTGTGCCAGATGGTCAGGAAATATGTTTTCATTGGATCAGATAAAACATTTTCTATCATTTTACCAAGTAACGGTAAAGGGGTTAAATGACAACTGTTTGAACATGAACATTATGAGGATTTATTATACGGCTCCTCACAGGAGCAGTAGATCGCTCCATTGATTTGAATGTAATTTCAAAACGTTCTACCGGTCATTATTTTATTATTAACGGACCTCTCAAAACAATAATGACCGCTGCCCATGGCAACGCACTCTCTGCTTGTATTTCAAATGCGTGGATAACTCTGTAAGTAGTTCCGGCCACTCCGGAGCTTGCCACGCTCAATCAACACACTTAAATGTTAATCGGAGAATACTTATACATATACATTCTTCACACACGTGCACGGAAATTTTCAGAAGTTTCTGGTCTTGTCTTCATGACAAAAATACTATTTCTCTGCGTCAAACCGGCCTAAATAAATTAAATAAACCTTTCGGCATTCCTAAAAGTGGACTGAAGTTTATTCAATTTGGAGAGACGAGAAACGAAAATGGTTTTGAGTATTTATTGAGGTGGTTTGGCGCCCTAGGCCCCGGTGCGGCCTTCAGATCGGAGAGGCTCCTGCGATGGAGCGCGTACAATCCCCCGGGACCTAGGCACTGGTGGCGGCATTTTGGCAGATTGGAGGCAGATAGGAGGCAGATAGGAGGCAGATAGGAGGCAGATTGGAGGCAGATTGGAGGCAGATTGGAGGCAGATTGGAGGCAGGGTGAAGAGGAGGAGGAGGGGAGGCGGTGGTTGCGAGGCTTCGAGAAGGCCGAGAGTGGGAGTTGCTCCGCTTTTAAGCGGCTGCCTGTCCGGCACGGATGATTGGAAGGGGGCGTTTGCTGAGCGATAGGCTGGGGAAGCAAACCGGCCTGGAGGGGGTAGCTTTTGGCTGACGTCTACCAAATTGAATTTTCGCGAGCTACATTTCAATTTGGAGAGACGAGAAACGAAAATGGTTTTGAGTATTTATTGAGGTGGTTTGGCGCCCTAGGCCCCGGTGCGGCCTTCAGATCGGAGAGGCTCCTGCGATGGAGCGCGTACAATCCCCAAAAAGGCTGTGTGTGTTGATGGAGTTTTGCAGCCTGGTTTGCAGGGGACAGACGTCGTGGCTGCTCTATGCTGTGACCGCTATCGCTATGCTGTGACCGCTATCGCTATGCTGTGACCGCTATCGCTATGCTGTGACCGCTATCGCTATGTTGTGACCGCTATCTCTATGCTGTGACCGCTATCTCTATGCTGTGAACCGTTTATGCGCTAACCATTTTTTGCTATGCTGTGACCGCTAACACTAACGCTATGACCGCTACCACTGACGCTATGACCGCTATAACTGACGCTATGACCGCTATAACTGACGCTATGACCGCTATCACTGACGCTATGACCGCTATCACTGACGCTATGACCGCTATCACTATGTGCTGTGACCGTTATATGCGGTTATCTTTGAGTGCCGGGACGTGAGCGCTCGCATCACGATCAACCGGACGCTGCGGCAGGGTTATCTTTGAGCGCTGGGACGTGAGCGCTCGCATCACGATCAACCAGACGCTGCGGCAGGGTTATCTTTGCGCGCTGGGAACGTGAGCGCTCGCATTACGTTCCGTCAGACGCTGCGGCAGCGGAGAGTGTTTGAGAGAAATGCGTGCCGCCACCAGAATCTTATTGGTTCACTTACTTTGTTTGAGATGAAGGCTGAAAGGGTCAGGGGACATAATGTTGGGTGAAAGAGAGCGACCTTTGTTTAATGCTTCCACTACGTCGAGATTATCACACATGACAGAGATCCTCTTTCTCCGCCACGTGTGATTCCGCAGCGCGCAGGCCACGACCACTGGGAATATCTCGTGTAGGGCAGAGGAGATGCTCCGGTGGAAAGTAGCGGCCACGGCCCGGCAACCCGATGGTCCTGGAAAAAAACCCCCCAAAACCCACGGAAGGGGCACGTCCGTGAAGAAGCGGAGACCTGGAGGGGCAGAGACATGTCGGAGAGGGCCATTGATGTTGCAGGCGCCCTTACGCTTAGAATCTTGGGTTGGAGAGTAGGTAATCAGGACAGTAGGAAGGTCGGGAAAGCCGTGTCTCGGACCGCCGAAGGTTGAGTGTGCAGTAGTAAAACGCTTATGCAGAGAAGCCATGGAAGGCGAGCAGGAAGATGCTGCGAGGAGGGCAGACATGTACTTGGGAGATGAGCCGGAGTTCAGTGCCGCTGCAGGATGGGCAGCATGATTGGGAGCCTGCGATCAGAAGAGTGAGTACATTTTTACGTTTTCTCCTGGAGGTGTGCCGCAAGATTTTTTCAGTGAAAAAAGTGTGCCTTGGCTCAAAAAAGGTTGAAAAACACTGCTCTACCTATCCATCTTGCTCCCTCCCTCCCCCCACTCCTCATTGTGTTTCCGACTCACCCCCTCCCTGACCCTGCCCCCCTCTGACAGCCACATTGGGCCGGCTGTAGGAGGCGCTCATCCCGAGAAAAAAATCCGTGGTTTATTCAAAGCACAATGTGTCTATCCAACTGTCTGTGTAATCTGTATGGTATTGCTCTCTGCTGTTTATTCTACTGTTTGTCGCATGGCGCCGTAAAGATGGCGCCGTGGCAAGAGCTCTGGTGTGTGTCGTCTTCTCTGTCTGGCGCACACCGGGGTAGTCTTGCACAGTTTTCCAATGTGGTTTTACTGCAAATGGCAAATAAATGAATCTGAATCTGAATCTGAGAGGAGCCGTCAGCCACAGACCTACTGTACCCGCAAGGTGGAGGTTGTTTTGAAGGCGCGGTGAACCTGGCAGCAGGCAGCGGGTCAGGTGGTCTGCAGTCTCCAGGTCCGGCTCAATGAACTCCACCCAGGGGTCTGCACCATAGAGCTGGGAAGTCACCCCAGAGCCGGTACCCAGGATGGAGGACAGGTCGCGCAGCTTCCCATTCTGCACACACAACAGCACTTTCACCATGACACAGCAGAGGCAGCGCTGGGATATCATCAAAACCATCAAACAAGTTTGGTTTCACTAGTTTCCACATGCATTTAGTTTTGGCCCCTGTAACATCTTTAGATTAGATTTCTAAATCTGACAGAAAAGCAAAAGGCTTTCACTTAGACCAGCCATTCCCAAAGTCAGTAACACCGCGGCCCCCCTAAAAATCTGACGGGTCTGTGCGGCCCCCAAAAATACTAACCAAGAAGACAACATTAAAAATAGGCTCTTCTCATTATTTTATTTGGGGGAAATAGCCTCTGCTACAAACATTGTAATACAGAAATGATTACAATTTGATTATTCAAGTCGATAAATGAACACAAATATTTTAATTTTACAAACAAAATGTTATTAATTTAACATACAATAACTATATAAAACTATTTTTTTTTATGACCTCTCGCGGGTCCCTTGCAAATCCCTCGCGGCCCACTAGGGGGAGACTGTGTATTTTGAATGTCTATGATCAATGATTGTGTGTCTCTATTGAAAAACTAAACCTCATTCTCCCCATGTAACACTGGACTCAGTCTGTAGGGGGCGCTTATGCGGCAATTCCATGTTTTACACTTTCAGTTTACCCAAACTCGAGAGTTGAACAATCAAATCAAATTTTGAGCAAATCAGACTTTGCATGTGCAAACATCGACCATTTACTGTGCATAATAGCGCCTCCTACAAACACTTTTTTTTAGTCTTTTACCAAAGACATCAAAATAAATCATTTACTGCCAGAAAAAAAACGTAATAAAAGAATATGGTGAGTTTCTGTGCATGCTCAGTGGGTCAAATATAAGATCAAACAACAGAAAAACTAAATGCGCTGTGTCCCCTAGGTCTGAGAATTCATTCCCTGAAGAAGTCCTTTAGATTGAGGATGAAACGTCGGGAAAACCTGCTAAGAAGTACAGATGATGGGTGAGAAACCTTCCTTTGCTTTGACTAATCCCTGTACGACTGAGGGCTTACACAAACTTATCCCCTATGTAAAAGTTTTACTCAGCCTGTAGGGGGCTCTAATGGGACAATGTCATTGTTCACACATTCAGGCGACCTAGACCCAGGAGTTGAACAACCGAGTCAAGTTTAGTGCAAATCAGACTTATTAAATGCCATGTAAAACTTGACTCAGTCTGTAGGGCGCGCTAATGCTGCAATTGAATGTTTTACACTTTCAGTTTACCCAAACCCAAAAGTTGAACAACTGATTCAAATTTGGTGCAAATCAGACTTGGTTTGTGCAAAAGGGAGCTATGTTTCTATTGTCAAAATGGGGGAAAATTTCACGTTTTTCATGTGACTCATACAACGTTTCACTGATCAAAATTCCCTGAAGTCATTTTGATGTAGTGTGTTGAGATGATGTGGAGCGTTTTTGAGGCCAATCGGAGAAACGGCCGAGGAGGAGTCGCTTTCCAACCGACATGTATGAAAATTATTGCTGTTCATTTTTCCATTTTGCAGTGAAATTTATGGGCTTCCTGTTTTTCAGGGGGCGTGGTCACAATATAATGTTTTTCATGTCCTGACTTGAGGAACATGTGTACCGAATTTCATGGCTCTACGACAAACTTGACTTCTGAAACTCCCATTGGCTGTTGTAGGTGGCGCTGTACTGGCATTTTTTTTGTCCCATAAAAATAAACACCATATCAATATCAAATTATTCACCAGGTCTGATGTTTGGGCAAAATTTTTCAACTTTTCATGCATGTTCAGGGGGTCAAATTAAGGCTCAAAGTGCAGAATTTGACATCTCTCAAGTAAGGAAAAAAAATTTGACGTCGCGAGCAAAAACAATATAGGTTTCAATGGCACGTGATACATCATTTTAAAGCGTTTGAGTTTACGCACGCAACCGTCACGTTTTGGTGAGTGATGGGCGCTGACGCGTCCGTCACGCACCGCCACCATTTGTTTTCACCATTGTGAAGTAATTATTACTTTCATACTGTATCATTCTATAATGATATGAAAGTAATATGACAGTAGCTCAGTTGGTAGAGCATTGGCCTTTGAGCCTGAAGGTTGTGGGTTCAAGCCCACCGTAAGACCTACTTCACGACTCCCACTGATGACTGCTGTCGTTGTGTCCTAGGGCAAGACACTTAACCCCACTTTGCCTGAAGCCCCTGCTGAAAGATCTCAGCTCCTGTGGACTCACCACCTGCAGGAGGATCAGTGAGGAGCTGGTGCTCTGTGTACTGGGTGGCATCTCTGGCCACCCCCCCCGACCCAGAAATGGATTAAGGGGAAGAAAATGGATGGATGGATGGCATTCTATAATAATAATTTAAAAAAAGATCTTTTTAAAAGAACCTTCTAAGCATTAAACATTTTAAAGTCTTGCAATCATATAGAAACATCTAATCCCCCTTGACATCAAAGTGCCCCCTTTGAACAGCGGTGCAGTTGGGGATTCCATGGTCAAGCTTGGCCTGTTGTGTATTTTCCCCGGACTTAATGTGGTATTGTACCTTGAGCAGCTCTGGGTCGATCCCTCGAATCTTGGGGCCTGGAATGGGAGGCAACAGCAAGACCATCAACCTGCTCAAAACAATAACAACAGTTATTGTAAGTGATTGCTTTTGGGCTTTAAAGGAGACATATTAAGCATTGGGGACTTTATCATAATTGTTTTGAATTCATACTAGCTTAAGCAAAATATATTCTTCTCAAACAAAGTCTAACAGACCAGTGCAACTTTGGCAATTATGTGTAGCCATAGTAAGAGCTGGACTGGGACCAAAAAACGGCCCGGACATATTTTCCTCCTTGTCGTTTTTTTTAAATATTTACGGTTATTTATACGGTATGCGGAAGTGCAATAGTCTACATTAATAGAGAGTAACAAAAAATTCACAACACAAACTGAGGGAGGGATGAGAATCAGACATTTTAAAAAAGTCTGAAATGCATATTGTCAGCCAATGGCTGTCATTGAACCTGTTTGATTTGCTCACAACATTTTACTTTTGGGCCCAACCAACATGAGCTGTTTATGCAAGGGAAAATATAGGTACCCCAGCTTTAATGTAGCAAGTTGAAGGAGGATGAAGGAGGAGACTCCTTCATCCTCCAGTCAAGGCCTAGCCATTTAATATTTAGAAATATAATACATTTTGCAGGCCCATCTTCCACCGCTCTGGTCTACAACCGACTGCAATCCAGTGAGCCAGCAGTCACCTGGTGAGTGTGGCTTGGGTGTAGGCATCTACTCTTTGCACATTGACACTTCCATTCGTTCATTTTATACCAACATTTCTCATCCAAGGGGATAACCAATGCGGTCAGCTTATTTGTTCATATCATAGATCTATAATAATACCTGGATAGAGTATTACTAACTTAGAGCAGAAGGACCCAATAGCTTGGGGGCTTCCCTTGGTACTGCAGACTAAATAAGACTATTCACCTGCGTACCCAGTAATGTCCCCCATTAAACTCATTTTTAACTAAAACAGCTCAATCTCAGCTGATAGGGAACCTACCCACCCACGCGTCTTTGTTAATAGGGAGGTTGTCCACTGCGCAAAACCGGGAGGACCACCAGAGAAATGCCCAAATATGGGTGGGCTCCACAAATCTTTTGGTGCCCATGGTAGCTTCACACGCCACTGAGTACCATTGATTTGTAACAATTGATTTGAATATGCCGCCATCTTTAATCGAACGGTTTGTTATAGAGCGGAGCATAATCGGTCCGGTGAAACTCATCCCAATAACAAAGGTTCTGTGGTGCGCAATGTGTCAAAAACAATTTACTGCGCCATTTTGTTAAATCAATCAATCCCAATTAACACGTTATAGTCCCAGCCCCATGCATATAACTTAAATGGCAAAAAAACAAGAATAAAACATAAAAAAACATCTCAAATAAATGTCTAATGGGCCTTGGACCCAAAAAAAGTGTCACGTATTCATACTTTTCCTGCTTAGAAATCATGATGAGAATGAGAATGGCCACCAGGCACAGGGCTCCAAACACCAGTAGAGCAGCTGCTGAAAACCTAAACCCTGACAAAACAAAGACATGAATTAAACTTTGACATAAGCAAAAGGGTTTTACTGTTTAGTATAATTTAAATATGTACTGTAGATTAACATTTTTGTAAAATCCCTGACTGGTCTGACTAGTTAGTCAAACCAGCTTTTCACACATAGACTTTGGTCTATGTGTGACTTTGGTCACACACACACACACTTTGGTCTTGGGCATGAAGCCCCAGACAGCTATGCTGTCTGGGGCTTCATGCCCCTGGTAGGGCCTCCCATGGCAGACAGGGCTCAGGTGACGAGTCAGACAAAGAGCAGTCCAGAAGACACCATGGACAGCACTAACACGAAAACAGTGACGTCGCCCGGCATGGCGCAGCCGGGGCCCCACCCTGGAGCCAGGCCTGGGGTCGGGGCCCGTATGCGAGCGCCTGGTGGCCGGGCCTTAGCCCACGGGGCCCGGCCGGGCTCAGCCCGAAGGGATGACGTGGGCAGTCCCTCCTGTGGGCCCACCACCTGCAGAGGGGTCCGTGGTGAAGCGGTGCAGAGAGGACTGGGCGGCAGTCGAAGGCGGAGACCTCGGCGACCCAGTCCGCACACACAACATCTGGCTCTTGGGACGTGGAACGTCACCTCACTGGGGGGGAAGGAGCCCGAGCTCGTGGGGGAGGTTGAGCGATACCGACTAGAGATAGTCGGCCTCACCTCCACACACAGCTTGGGCTCTGGAACCCAACTCCTTGAGAGGGGTTGGACGCCTCCACTTTTCTGGAGTTTCCCGCGGGGAGAGGCGGCGAGCTGGGGTGGCCATTCTCATTGCCCCCCATCTCAGCCGCCACGTGTTGGAGTTCTCCCCGGTGAATGAGAGGGTCGCGTCCCTCCGCCTCCGGGTGGGGGACAAGTCTCTCATTGTTGTGACGGCCTACGGGCCTAACAGCAGTGTAGAGTACCCGGCCTTCTTGGAGTCCTTGGGAGGGGTACTGGACGGTGCACTGCCCGGGGACTCCGTTATTCTCCTGGGGGACTTCAACGCCCATGTGGGAAACGCCAGTGACACTTGGAGAGGGGTGATCGGGAAGAACGGCCCCCCTGATCTGAACCCGAGCGGTGCTCAGTTGTTGGACTTCTGTGCCAGTCACGGTTTGTCCATCACGAACACCATGTTCGAGCACAAGGGTGTCCACCAGTGCACGTGGCACCAGGACACCCTAGGCCGGAGGTCGATGATCGACTTTGTTGTCGTATCATCTGACCTTCGACCGCGTGTCTCGGACACTCGGGTAAAGAGAGGGGCGGAGCTGTCAACCGATCATCACCTGGTCGTGAGTTGGATCCGCTGGCAGGGGAAGAAGCCGGTCAGACCTGGCAGACCCAAGCGTATAGTGAGGGTCTGCTGGGAACGTCTCGCTGAGCCCCCTGTCAGACGGACTTTCAACTCACACCTCCGGGAGAGTTTCTCCCAGGTCCCGGCGGAGGAGGGGGACATGGAGTCCGAGTGGACCATGTTCTCTGCCTCAATCGCCGATGCGGCGGCTCGTAGCTGTGGTCGCAAGGTCTCTGGTGCTGGTCCCGGCGGCAACCCCCGAACCCGGTGGTGGACACCGGCAGTAAGGGATGCTGTCAGGCTGAAGAAGGAGTCCTATCGAGCCATGATGGTTCGGGGGACTCCTGAGGCAGCTGTCCAGTACCGGCAGGCCAAGCGTGCCGCGGCCCGGGCTGTTGCAGAGGCAAAAACCCGGGACTGGGAGGAGTTCGGAGAGTCCATGGAGCATGACTATCGGTCGGCCTCGAAGAGATTCTGGCAAACCATCCGGCGCCTCAGGAGGGGGAAGCAGTTCTTTGCCAACACCATGTACGGTGCGGGTGGAGAGCTGCTGACCTCGACTGGGGATATTGTCGGGCGGTGGAAGGAATACTTTGAGGTTCTCCTCAATCCCCCCGTCACGTCCTCTGTTACAGAGGCAGAGGCTGAGGACGTTGGGGCGGGTACATCCATCTCCCTGGCTGAGGTCACCAAGGTGGTTGGTAGCCTCCATGGTGGCAAGGCTCCGGGTGTGGATGAGATCCGCCCTGATTATCTAAAGTCTCTGGATGTTGTAGGACTGTCTTGGCTGACACGTCTCTGCAACATCGCGTGGCGATCGGGGGCAGTGCCAATGGAGTGGCAGACCGGGGTGGTGATCCCTCTCTACAAGAAGGGGGACCGGAGGGTGTGTTCCAATTATCGTGGGATCACACTCCTCAGCCTCCCCGGTAAGGTCTACTCCAAGGTACTGGAGAGGAGGCTACGGCCGATGGTCGAATCTCGGATCCAGGAGGAGCAGTGTGGTTTTCGTCCCGGTCGCGGAACACTGGACCAGCTCTATACTCTCCATCGGATACTCGAGGGTTCATGGGAGTTCGCCCAACCTGTCCACATGTGCTTTGTGGATTTGGAGAAGGCGTTTGACTGTGTTCCCCGGGGTGTCCTTTGGGGGGTTCTCCGGGAGTACGGGGTCGGAGGTCCTCTGCTGAGGGCCATCCGATCCCTGTATGACCGGAGCCAGAGCTGTGTTCGCATTGCCGGCAGTAAGTCAGACCTGTTCCCGGTGAATGTTGGCCTCCGGCAGGGCTGCCCTTTGTCACCGGTTCTGTTCACTGTATTTATGGACAGAATATCTAGGCGCAGCCAGGGGTCGGAGGGGGTCCGGTTCGGAGACCACAGGATTTCATCTCTGCTGTTTGCGGACGATGTTGTCCTGTTGGCTCCAACGAACCAGGACCTGCAGCATGCACTGGGACGGTTTGCAGCCGAGTGTGAAGCGGCTGGGATGAGAATCAGCACCTCCAAATCCGAGGCCATGGTGCTCGACCGGAAAAAGGTGCCTTGCCCTCTGCAGGTGGGTGGAGAGGTCCTTCCTCAAGTGGAGGAGTTCAAGTATCTCGGGGTCTTGTTCACGAGTGAGGGAAGAATGGGAGCGTGAGATTGACAGGCGGATCGGTGCAGCATGCGCAGTGATGCGGTCGCTGTATCGGACCGTTGTGGTGAAGAGGGAGCTGAGCCGAAAGGCAAAGCTCTCGATTTACCGGTCAATCTTCGTTCCCTCCCTCACCTATGGTCATGAGCTTTGGGTAATGACCGAAAGAACGAGATCGCGGATACAAGCGGTCGAAATGAGCTTCCTCCGCAGAGTGGCTGGGCGCTCCCTTAGAGATAGGGTGAGGAGCTCAGTCACACGGGAGGAGCTCGGAGTAGAACCGCTGCTTCTCCACGTCGAGAGGAACCAGTTGAGGTGGCTCGGGCATCTGTTCCGGATGCCTCCTGGACGCCTCCCTGGGGAGGTGTTCCGGGCACGTCCCACCGGGAGGAGGCCCCGCGGAAGACCCAGGACACGCTGGAGGGACTATGTCTCTCAGCTGGCCTGGGAACGCCTTGGGGTCCCCCCGGACGAGCTGGAGGAGGTGTGTGTGGATAGGGAAGTCTGGGCGTCTCTGCTTAGACTGCTGCCCCCGCGACCCGGCAACGGATGAAGCGGAAGAAAATGGATGGATGGATGGACTTTGGTCGAAGTATACACAAGGCTCAGACACTCTTGTCTCAGTATATATGCAGAACCAGGCCTCTCTTGTCTTTGTATACATGAGGCTCGGACCACTCTTGTCTCAGTACATATGCAGACTCAGACTACTCTTGTCCCAGATTCACATGCCTTATACTCAAGCCTTTTAAATTGGACGAGGCCAGTTCACAGTATTCCATTCCCTGTCCTATGTAACACCTATGGCTCACCTTTTGAGGGGTTGTAGATGTAGAGAGAGTCACTGAAGTCCCCAAACTCTGTGTTTCCAAACATTCTGCAGCGGATTCGGAGCTCATACTGGACGTCCATGTGGAGGCCGAACACAGAGCTGTGGGTTGCGTCCAGAAGGCCACTCTGAAGACACAGTTCACTTCAATTCAAAATACAGAACATGGTTTCCTTTGAGTAGCTCTACAGTACAGGGTTCAGATGGTATTCATTTTCTGATACCAGTCCAAAATACTGGTGCTATACCAGGGAGTTGCACAAAGGGTTCTTCTTCATGCTCTACAGTGATGACTCATTATTACACATAATTTGAAAGAGAAAATGCATTTAGTCCTTTCATCCTCATTCCTGGTTACATTGATCAAAGCCCCTGCTCCCTCACAGATGTAGTAAGTGAAGAACAACTTAAAATGAATGTGCAATGCTGTCAAATATTCCGCATATCACAGATTCAGAAAAGATAACCTGTGAACATGTGGAGCTAAGGTGGAGTGCTTAAATGAGCAGGGGAAACAACAATAACATGGCGGCTTAAATTCTTATTTAATAGCATTAATGTCATATTTTGTTACTATATATCATGGATTACACACTTTCTTTGGTGCGTGCCATAGCCTGGGCTAGCCTAGCCGTGGCTGCTGCTGTCAGTCCTTCTGTCGGACACGGCCTCTACATTCAAGGCAAAGCTTAAAACAGTCCTCTTCAGTTTAGCATATGGTTAGGAAGGTAAGACTCAGGGAAGGCTAAACACCTTAGAGTGCCAGTCAAGCTGCGTAGGGAGTCAGTTTGCTGGGAGAAATTTGGTAACTTGAGCTCTATCCTGTCTGCGTTATTAGGATTTTGACCGTCGCCTGTTCATTGCTATTCACTCGCTGTCCCATTGTCTGCTTCGTGGCGCGACGACGGGACCGCTGAACCTGGCCCCCCTCCATCTACACCTGCGGACTGTCCTGCTTCAGTCCTGCACTGGACCTGTCCACGTTCTGCGGCCGCTGCGCGGCCCTGGTCCTCGTTCTGTAGCTTAGGGTCTGAATAATCTATGGCCCATTCGTCCGTGGGAGTGGATCCCTCTCTTAATGTGGATCTCCCCGATGCAGGAGGGTCTGCTGACAGTAAGTGTCTAACAAGGAGGACTGTGGGGATGATCCATAACACTTTAACATTCTACAACATGTGTTGTAGAATGTTGTGTGTTCTCTGATCTGTGTGAGCTGTCAATGGTTTTGTTAAGTCCTCTGAGATGACTGCTGTGGTGATTTAGGGCTATAGAAGAGTACATTTTATTGTACTTGTATTATATAGTTAACGGGTTTGCATTAACTCCATCATTAACGCATTTAACTGACAGCACTAGTTTAAAGCTATAAAAATAAGTTGCTGACTCTACTTTACGGCGTCTTTGTATTTGTATTATTAATTGTATAACGTTTGCTGTTATTTCACTCTAAAACATAAAACAAACACAATCAGTTATAATTAAACATGAACTTTCATAACCATTAATGCATTCCCAACCTTCTTTACAGTACCATAGGTCCAGTTTTGTCAAGCTATACCGTACACATTTTTCCCACACACAAAAAGCTGCCTAAAATGACTATCCACATTTAATAAAAATAGAATCTCAATTTTTGTAAAAAAAAAAAAAAAAGTTAAAAAAAGTTAAAACACAGATGCAAAAGATGAGCTGTGAGCAAACACAAAAAGACACTGAACATCTTATATCCAAATTATTATTGTTTATAAAATCAATATATATTTTTGCTTTATTGTTAATAGAAGTAGTTTGCCTCCTGTTATTAGAATATGTGTTATCTGTTAAATGAAATGGTAACCACATGGAAACAGGTCCAGCCTTCCCTGGTCTAAAGGACTTGGTCCAATTCATAAGTGAATACAGAATCTCAGATAAAAAGCAGTCAAATGATTGAAGAAACTAGTGAAGCAGAGAGCTTGTATGGTGCTTTGTCATGTGTATAAACAGAACATATAATTAAGTGTCCCAAGTGAACATTAGTCTGACATCATATGACTACATGAGCTGAGGTCGCAGAGCACTCACAGGCTTCCACACACTGGAGCTGGCCTCACGGTACTGGAGCTCATACTGAAGCCTCATCCATCCAGAGCGCACGTCTGCAGACTCCGGGGGGCTCCAGCTCACCAGGCAGTCAAAGAACTGGTCCGTCACACTGCTGTTCAGAAGCAGCCAGCTCAGGTTGAACGGGGGGTCTGGGCGCACTGCACGAGACATAAAGAGAAACAATTTGAAGATCTAAAAAGTTATGGTGAAAGTTCTCACTGCCTTCGAATGAGAATGGATTAAGAAACAAAAAAAAAACAAATTAAGAGTAAAACTGAGGAATAATAGATTCAAATTCATCGGGATTAATCACAATAAAAAGAAGAAAAAGAAAAAGAAATGAAGAGCTGCAGTTTTTTTTTTTAAATGACCACACTGTGTGGATCTTGTGAGGGAGGCACTGGGGGGGAGGGGAGGTGACAGCAGGAGGACACATGCTTCTCCTGACAGAAGAAGCATGTCAAGAGGAGTGCGAGAACCTTGCACACTTCAGCTGTAGCGTTTTTTTTAATACCCTATGTCCCATTAAAATAACCCAGATGGCCAGTGGCAGTGGGGTGGATCAACGCAATGCAGTCTGAATGAAAACACTGATGTATTCAAGTGTAGAGAAACAGCCATGCTCAAATGATATAGGAGACATATTTGCGACTTGTTCATTTTGTACATTTGATTATAGTCCTTGCAGCTGTCTGGGTGTTCTGGTTTAGGCCTTGACCTGTGGGGGTCATAGACAGCTGTAATGCAGACTGGAGAGTGCCCTAACCTCTCTCAAACACAGTGAACACACTCTCGTCGTACACGCGCTGGTCTCTGGAGCGCAGCTGGACTGTATAGCTGTTCCAGATCGTGGTGTGCTGTTTACTGAAGAAGCACTCGCCAGGCCGCTTGGAGCTGTACTCGGGGCACTCCAGCCAGTCTACTACCACGGGCCTAAAGACACACACACACACACACACACACACACACACACACAAGGACGGATACACAAAGAAGCAAACACAACATACAGAGACACACACAGACACATGGAGACGGCACAGATAAGACACCCACAGACATACAGAGACGACTCCGAGACGCACACACACAGGTGCACACAGAGACAAACAACACACACAGACCCACACACAAACACACAGGCACACACAAGATCAGAAAATATTTAACTTAGGAGACAACCCTGAGATGGGTAGACATAACAGTGTTTCAAGCTTCTTCAAGAGCCTTGGCATATGTTCAAGACCTATGTGTACATTACTGTATATATGACTTATTGAGGGACATGCTGTCTGTCTGTCTGTCTGTCTGTCTCTCCGTCTGTACATGAATTGCATGTGTGTGTGTGTGCATCTTTGTGTGCTTGTGTGTGTGTGTGTGCGTGTGCGTGAGTGTGTATGCATGTTTGTGTGCTTGAGTGTGTGTGTGTGCTCACTTGTTGAGGTAGTAGAGCCTCAGGGCCCCTGCTTCAGACAGGTTGTGCAGGTTCCCACTGCTCCAGCGACACGTTAATGTCTCCATGTTGGAAGAGAAACAGTCCTCGATGTGCGGCAGCCCTGAGAGGCAGAACCACAAATATGATGGAACCAGGGAGACAAAAGTACTCGTCTGAGGTACTTATAGTGGTATGTAAAAGTTTGTCAATCTATCAATTTGTATGATTTTCCTTTATAAATCATTCGTTTTTTTGGATAAGGCATAGCAGTGATATTTGAGAAGTGAATTTAGGCATGAGCATACATTTAGGCATCCTTTAACCTTTTCTTTGATTTTGATACCTTTAGCACTAATTATTGGAACTCAACATTGGTTTGAAGCCTCAGTGACCCTTACTCATACACAGGTGAATCCAAACAAGATAAAAGGTTTTTAAGTTGGCCATTTCCAAGAGTTTCCCCTCTTTGCATATTCTCTGAAGAGTGGCATCATGGGAGCCTCAAAACAACTCTCAAATGACTTGAAAACAACATTGTTCTACATCGTCGGGGTTTAAAAAAATCTATCACAGAGATCGAAGCTTTCAGTTTAACGGTGAGGAACATTGTGAGATAAGATAAGATGGCAAGGCAAGGCAAGGCAAGTTTATTTATATAGCACAATTCATACACAAGGCAATTCAAAGTGCTGAACAAAACAAGAAAGCATTAAAATCATAAATTATCACAGAACATTAAAAAGAAAGATAAAAATATAAAATCCCTCAGTTGTATGCACAGTTAAACAAAACTGTCTTTAACCTGGTTTTAAACATTGTCAGAGAGGAGGCCTGTCTCTCAAGATGAACTTTTTTCATCTCACAATGGAGAAATGCACATGTCGCATTTGATAGAATCAATCAGATTGTGCACAAAGACAGAAATGTGCTTCATGTTGAGGTTAAAAATATAGTCTGTGCAGGATATTATGTGCAAAAACATAAAGTGACAAAAAAGTGGCAATAGTAGAGCTGGTTTTTAAGTCCTAGTGCAGGTCAGTAGTGATTTAAAGTGACTTATTCTACAGTCTGACAGCGGTGGGGATAAAGATCAAGAACAATTTCAGATAAGCAGAGGTGAGAACAGTCAGAGTCAACCCACAGACCAGCTCCAAAGACCTACAACATCAGCTGCAGATGGTGTCACTGTGCATTGTTCGACTATACTTCATACAAGAGATACTGAAGAGATGAACAAGCCTTTTCTCTGCCCACGCCACAAACAGTGATGCCTGAAGTATGCAGAAGCACAATTTGACAAGCCAGCTTCATTTTGGATGAAGGAGTAGTGGACTGATATATATTGAAGTTGCGCCAGGGCTGGATCTTCTCAACAAGACAACGACCCTAGACACTGCTTCAACTCTACTAAAGCATCAATGCAGCGGGAAAAGTCCAATGTTTTGGAATTCATAGTATTGAACATTTGAACATTCTTAGAACCCATCAAACCTGATTGATCTAATCTGCAAAGAAGAATGGTCCAAAATACCTTCCACCAGAATTCAAAAAGTACATGCTTTTGTATGTACTTAGAAAAGTTCCAACTAAAATGCCTTTTTGTTGAATCATTGAAGGTCAACATGTATTTGTACGGGACGGTTTAGGAATTGCCTCTTAAATAACATCATACTCTTTCACACAAACTGTGAATATGACAACAAACCAAATGTAAAACTTGTAGCTCAATGGTTATCTGAACTTAGCGGCTAACAACAACAAACTGGTTAACTTAGAAGCATGGCTACACACTTGTAGAAAGTACTCTAAGTACTCATTCTGAGACTACTGATACTTTGTTTTATAAACTAATTTAAATAATGCTGCTGGCCTGCACTAGCCCCATGCGACCACGAGAGGGAGGAGTTGAATATAATGCCAAATTTGAAAATCAGACATGTTTTTGTAAAGAATATGATTTTACCTGAGAAATTGCCAAAAATAATTTATGGGTAATACCTTTGTTTTAAAAGGCAGAAAACTGAATGGTACAATACAATACCATAACATCATGACTGAGACAAGAGCTTTTAATCAGAAGAGGAGTTACATACATAAAGCACAATGTGTAATGTAATTTAACTAATTTATGTATGTAACTTAGACACCTGGGAAAGGGAGTTTATTATTTTATTTTTTTTGTACTGTAGGTATGAATGATGAACGGACGGAAGTACAGTACAGACCAAAAGTTTGGACACATTTTCTCATTCATTGTTTCCTTTCTTTTCATGACTATTGACTGTAGATTCAGACCCAGGCTGTGTAAGGGCTCAAGAGGGTTTTGGGGTGAGCTGGACCACAGAGTGAAGGGGAAGGGGCCAACAAGTGCTAAGCATCTTTGGGAACTCCTTCAAGACTGTTGGAAGACCATTTCAGGTCACTACCTTTTGAAGCTCATCAAGAGAATGCCAAGAGTGTGTGAAGCAGTAATCAGAGCATAATGTGCTACTTTGAAAAAACTAGATTATAAGACATATTTTCAGTTGTTTCATACTTTTCTTTGGTACGTACATAATTCCACATGAGTTAATTCATAGTTTTGCCTTCAGTGTGAATCTACAATTTTGATAATCAGGAAAATAAAAAACTCTTTGAATGAGAAGGTGTGTCCAAACTTTTAGTCTGTACTGTATTTATGGTGTGCATGGTGTGAGTGTGAGTATGAGTTGTGTGGGCGAAAATGTTGTAGGCATTTATTTGTTTTGACATGTGAACATATAATGTAATCATATAATAATGTAACAACCCGGATCACATGTACTTATGAATCAGTGACGGAAAAACAAGAATGGAAAATTAATAAAGAATTGATCACAAAAAAGAAGAGTTAAGTGTTTGTGACAGAAGTTCTTGATATTAGCGTGGATGAATCTAAGAACTCCTCGTCTGTGACTGAAGAGGAACAATGGTTAAAAGCTCAAACTAAGACAATTTTGCATAATATGTCTTTGAAATACACTTGTAACCTTATGATTGGAACATAATTAAACTCTCAAAAAGACATTTTTACATAATATTTTACATGTTTTGAAAAGTAGGAGTTGAAAACCACATGTTTTTGATTTTTCTTATGATTGAGAGCTGGGATGAGTCAGTGAAGCATGTTTTGATCTGTGTGAGCCTCTCCTCATGCGTGCACATGCAGCCAGAAGAAAACACCTCGTTTCCTGGAAATCCTGAGACACTCCAAACCAGAGCACAGGGTTCATGTGCTCAGCTCCTCACACTGCGGCTGCGCCGCCACGACGAATGAAATCACAACAGTTTAGCTCAGTGTGTACGTCGAAAAACACTCATTCTGCATTTTAGAATAGACTACAAAATTTGACTTTCCAATAAACTTTGGTTTATTAATTTGGTTCCAATAAACTTTGGTTTATTGAAACTTTTTTTAAGTCAATGTTGATATGAATTAATAAAGCCCACTTTTTTCACACTGTTATCTTTGCAGTATGATCCATCCATGTGTCTTCCCAGCACTCATTGATGTTTCCTATGACTCGCTCAGAGAATCTGTGACTGTGCAGGGGGCACTTGAGGGGCCGCCAGCTCTGGTATAAATAACCTGTTTACTCGAGACTACAGAGCCACAAACACACACCTGACACCCAGGCCGCGAGAGCACGACCCCCCACTCAGACAGGGGCCTAGACCACTGCCCAGAGGGAAGAGCAGAATCCAGAAGAAAAATGCTCTATGCTTTTCGAAAGCTGAGCTCCAATTTATTAAATCTATATATTTAAGTGTCTTGCCCAAGGATACAATAACAGCAGTGGGAGTCTTGAAGTAGTCTTGTAGTGGGCTCAAACCCACGACCTTCAGGCCCAAAGGCCAATGCTCTATCAACTGAGCCACTGTGCAATTGTGTTCTGCACAATTATATTTATGTTATTATTAGCTCGAGCCAATACGTAGTATTTAAAAGGGCTATTGTTATTCGTTGGTTTCATTTTTTTTCTGCCTAAAGGATTCAATTTTTGAGCCTAAAGACATACACAAATGTTGGCACATGGGAGGGTGTAATGCGACTGGTTCGGCAAAAATTATTGTTTTGAGATTGTCTGACGAACGGCAACTCAACATTGCCCTCTGGATATATTAAATTCTCAAAGCCTATGGGTGCCAGACATATTTTAGAGCAGGTACACAGCATTCAGATCAGTGATAGATCTCTATGAGACAAGCCTAAAACTCTCTTGGAGCCTTGCTCTGGGACCAACAGGAAGTCGGAACCCAATGACAATAAATTAATACGCCCAGTATGAACTCTATAGCACCACCTGTAGCAAAGTAGGGCACTAGTGCTCCAATTGGCCTCAAAATCGCTAAGTGTAATCTCTGAACCGAGACGAGCAAAACATATTGAAACTCACATCACGAATGATTGGCAATGGCTTGAGCATAATGGTGTGAAAATACACACCTAATATGACTCTCTTGGGCACCACCTATGGGAGGCTTCCAACCTTAACTTTTCAGATCCTCTCCAAAGTCGCAGTCAAGTTGCTGGTGTTATACGTGTTTGTTTTGACCTCGTGACAGTTTTGCCTTACACAACTAAACGTAACACTCCAAGATCCTCCTATACTCTTTTCATTCATGATACTGTTTAGTGACCAAAACACTGACTCCACCCATAACTCTGACACTCTCACAGAACAACTGAGCAGCAGCTTAATCTTAGAGCAAGGTGTGAACATTCAGCAGTTGTTAGGAGTATTTCAAAGGCAATTTGATGCACTCACAAAAATGCAGTATCATTTTGATGGAGGAGGTCAGTGATGGAGGAGGTCAGTGATGATGGAGGAGGTCAGTGATGGAGGAGGTCAGTGATGATGGAGGAGGTCAGTGATGGAGGAGGTCAGTGATGGAGGAGGTCAGTGATGATGGAGGAGGTCAGTGATGGAGGAGGAGGTCAGTGATGGAGGAGGAGGTCAGTGATAATGGAGGAGGTCAGTGATGAAGGAGGAGGTCAGTGATGGAGGAGGAGGTCAGTGATGGAGGAGGTCAGTGATAATGGAGGAGGTCAGTGATGAAGGAGGAGGTCAGTGATGGAGGAGGAGGTCAGTGATGATGGAG